TTTTTATGATTTTTCCCACCTCTGATTCTGATAGAATTTCTCTTAATCCACTTTTTAAACAATAATGGACACAAATGATTCATAATGAAGATAGTATAATCGTTACTACTAAATTTGGATCGGTAGTAGTGTGGCTAAAACTGAATACTTTTATCAAAATTAATAGTTGTTAGTTTATGTGTAGCATTAAGTTGATTCATCCTTTTGAAAATAATTCTTCATACATTAAAAAAAACAATCTGATAAGGACACACCTAACTATAATTCAAAAGAAACAAAATGTAAGTTTATTCGGGATAAGATTCAAAAGGCCAAAAGGAAAGTGAATCACATTATTAAGTTTATACATATCTTATTGTTTGGTAAACTAAAATGATTATTTCTTTTGATAAAAACTTCAAAAATATACGGATGTATGAGCTTACATAGCTTCACCAAGTTACATAAACTGAGAGGATAAAACATTAACGTATATTTTTATGAAATAACACCCTTAACAAAGAATAACATGGTCTCAACGATAACATTTCTTTACATGTTTTGTTTTGTTCGATAGCCATATATTTTCGAAAAAGTCATCATCAAATTTTACAAAGTTGTTTTCAATAGCTTTCTTGTTTCATCATTGAATAGGTTCAATCAAATTGAAATTTTTAGTCATAAATACCTATACTTTGAACAGTAATTAATAATTTTAAAACCCCAGTTTTTCAACTGGATCAGTATTTTTCCAAGAGGAAACTGATACGTCAATAGCTATTATTACTTAAAAATCATGCACTTCTCTTAGTGATGCTCCACAGTGGTAGCAAGTTTAAGTCCAGTCGACTAGAATTATGTTACTGTAGCGTGGCTATTTTTTTGGAGGGCACTTATACGTAAATTGGTTTCAAACTACACGTATTAACTTCTTATAGACATTAAAATTATTTTCCACTACTTACTTTGAATGTATTGTCACTTCTGAAGGCTGTATATGACCTGTAATCAGGTGTTATTTACTTTCGACAATAAAATTTATGCTTAAGTAGTAAGAATCATGCAGAAAATTTTATTTTAGCACATAGATATTGGTACAAGGAGGCACCAAATACATATGCACCACACAAATCTCATTCAGTTAGTCTAATGGCTTTTATGGTTACAATTCTAGCTTCTAATAGTTTGCTAATCAGAGTGAATTGTCTGCTATAGCGTTGAGCAGATATTTCACCATTTTTATAATTAGTCAATAACGAAACGAATGTTTTTGCTATTTCATTCAATAGTTTAACGACTCATTAAGGTGACTATTTTAATCTATTCATACATTATATCTCAATCTTACTCGCAAATAATGTTTCAGGATGATTGTTGTGAGGTTGATATTATTTGACTGAAGCATTTTTGTCAACCTGTGGTTCGACAATCCGTTTACCATATCAACTTAGACAAGAAAAAAAAAGAAAAAACAAGACCTTATCAGACTTTTGCTGATAATTAATACATTTATATCATACAAGTAATATTTTTGTCGATATATGAAATTTATAATTGGAGTTGAATTACACACTTCAAAGTACAACTCAAAACAAGTTTTTCTTATGTAGTAAACAGCCAAGATTTCAACATCAATTCCGTTTGCATCACAAGCGTTTATTTGTAATTAGAGATAAGTTAGGAGTAGAGTTCTCTCACACCTGGAACTTAAAACAATTGGCAACCAACACCAAGGTTAGGATTTTTAACACAAATGTCGAGATAGTTCTACTGTATGGGGCGGAAACCTGGAGAACTACGAAAGCCATCATCCAGAAAATACAGGTGTTTATTAACAGTTGTCTACGCAAACTATTTCGGATCCGTTGACCGGACAGTATTAGCAACAGACTATTGTGGGATAGAACAAACCAGGTCCCAGCGGAGAAAGAAATCAGGAAGAAACGCTGGAAATGGATAGGACACACATTGAGGAAAGCACCCAACTGTGTCACAGGGCAAGCCCTCACATAGAATCCTGAAGGCCAAAGGAGGAGAGGAAGACCAAAGAACACATTACGCCGAGAAATGGAGACAGACATGAGAAAAATGGGAAAAAATTGGATAGATTTGGAAAGGAAAGCTCAGGACAGAGTGGGTTGGAGAATGCTGGTCAGCGGCCTATGCTTCATTAGGAGTAACAGGCGTAAGTAAGTAAGGGTTCTCTCACTGTTTCATAACTAGCCAAATGAGGAGGAGGAATGTACAAAAATAACAGACTGACATCAATAATTGGAACTGAATCTTCACATAACTTATTCTCATATGTGAAGTTTCTCATGTTTTGGGACCAGATTGACGTGACTAATGTAATCTGAAGCCGAATATATTTAATGTTTAAAAAGAGTACAAGTATGTAATTCTACAACCAGGTGCAATTAGCTTATGGCTATTATATCTAGTTAATCGAACCTAGCAACACAAAATGCTTAAACTGAATTAGTTAAATATACTTGGTTGTCCAATGCTGTCTGGTTTCAAATGATTATCGAAGTGAAATCAACGATCTTAATTACTGTGTATTAAAGTAAGAGTATTTTTTACGGATTTATAAAATATGTGTTGAACCGTTTAACTTGTCATATTTGTATTTTTGTGTTACAGACAATAGACTTGTTTACATTTATTGTCATACAACTATGTCATTTGGATAGTCACTTGCATATACTTTGATTTTTAATTGACATTCTGCGTAAGAAATTCCATAATTTATACTTTTTTTCCCCAAAATTAATCAATTTTGTAGTTCGAAAACGAACTCGATGTAATGAACATTAGGAAGGAGGCATTCTTTTTATTAATGTTATGACTTGTATCCACCTGAGCATGGTTCTTACACCAGTTCAACTGAGTAGTAAAGAACAATATACGAATAGGTTTATTAAAACAGTTTACAGACCATAATAAAAGATTCTACTAATCATGCGATTAATCACTTTTGTACATTTAATAAATGCATATGTTCATTTGATAACTTATCCACGTTCGATGAGGTAACTATGATTTGGTCAAAATAAAAATTTCATCGGCCATTTAGATTTAGAAAGATATTTTTCAATATTATCTTATAGCACGCTCACCTATACTTGAGTTTGTACAAGTTTTTAATTTTATTAAGCTCCTTATTTAACTGATTTAATAGACAATGGGATTTGTATCAATAACAGTTTGCTTATATCTTTACACTATTATCCCCATGCTTCTACGATCATGTATGCTTGATCACTTCTTACAGCCTATGCATACATTCCTCTTACTACCTTAAATGTTATTTACTGAAATCGCTCGATGATTTATTCGCTTCCTTATTTATATGCGCTTCTTAAATCCCATTCATTCTTTGATTCACATTCATTCGCATCTGTATATCTGTTCGTATTAGCTTCATCTCTTTGGTGACTTTACGATTTGTGCTGTACAATAATGAACTATAACCACTGCTTTATATTGTCTTCTGAAATTTATACACCGTTGGGAGTTATCTATGAACGGAAGAGTGAGATACGAAGTATAAGAGTATATTCTCGAAAAAATTTCACTAAAATCGATTTTCTTTACAGTTTATATTCTTGTAACAATAAGAATAACATGTTCACCTAATTCTGATTAGATAACTGGAGCAGTGTCACTAACTTTCATAAAAATACTGTAATTCAGAAACGATTACAATGAAACATTAAATTTCCTCTCATGTCTGATGATTTTTGTGAGAATAGCTTATAAAAAGTCAGTTGGTAACGGAACAAAAAAGTAAGAAGATAATGAAATTTTGATGTATACGTTGAATAAAAATGCTGTTCAAACGTTTGCTGGACAGCAATTATGTGTAACTATGATTAAGAAGTTGTTTTTCTTAATATAACAATTTCTGCCTCATCGCATACAATTTAATAGCGACAGTTAATTAACCATAAATATATGTCACTAAGTATAATTAAACAAAAGAACTTTTTAATTGTATAATTTAACTTCATACATTAGTATTATTCCGTTTGGATATAAAACCATCTGAGTTGTGAATCAAACGTATCTAACAAAACACTTGTGACTATTTATCACTTGTCTTTGGTTGGCTTTATTGTTATCGTCCTTTTTTATGATTGAAAGTTTCCAAACAAAGAGGATCAGTTAATTTACTCAAAATGTTTAAATTTCAGTCAATGAAGACAATAAATTTTCTTTTTAAGTAAAACAATAACACGAGATTTCAGTATAACAAAAATTTCCTCTTAGTAAAAGGACTATTAGAGCGAAGTAATTCTTTAGGAGTTCTGTTTCCCAGTTTTGCAGGGCCATCATGAAAAACTAATTGGAGAGGAATTTGTTATATTTGATCGTCTTCTTAACAAGAAATTTGTATGGAACACAACGAGGAAATTAAATGTTTACAGTAATAAGAAAAACTATTCACATTATTATACTTATCGTAGATACGAGTTATTTCAGTTACTATTTACTATAACTTGAGAAATACTGCTATATCGAGGCAATTCACTCAGGTTGTATATTTTGCAACAGAGACTAATCAATCGCGATACTGAATATCGATAACGGGGAATGGCACAACCCTATTATTATTTTTATACCCATTAAACAAGTTAGTGACTCGGGTATAGATACTGTGTTCAAGTCTCAGTATGAACATCAATAATGGGATTCAGGTGCATCCACCTGATGAGTCCCAAATAAGATGCAACCTGTGTCCTGGATTCCAAAGCCAGCTACATACCAGAAACACTTGAATTTTATTAGTCAGTTTGAATTTTTCACTCAACAAATGTAGTTTTTTATTGCAACTATATAAATCGATAAAAGGTCGCTTGTTCTTCTGAACTTGTGGTGACAATGCAATACTAGGTTTATCTATCTTTCATTATTATTATTATTATTATTATTATTATTATTATTATTATTATTATTATCGCTCCGACTGTAACGCCATGCTGTCCAATTTAATTTCATTTTCTTAAAATACAATTTAGTCTTGTTACTGGTGTTGGAGAATTTGACATATGTTTTGGTCAGTCACGTTCACAAATCCCAGATACAACTAGCAAACTGACTTCATTAGTCGACAGTCCATATTTATTACTTGATGTAAGAGATCGAGATGATTATGATGCATGTCATATTATAACAGGTAACTTCTCAATATTCTTTTCAATCTTCGTTTTGTTAATTTCCTCTTTTCGTATACTGTAATATGATAAGATGCGTCAACGTTGACGAAAACCGGTCCATGACAGGTCTCCATATTGTGTATGCCTTACTGACTGATCAACTGACTAGCAATTTGAAATTGTGGTTAAATTTGAAAATCTGTCCACTTATTCCCCATATCATCAGTGAAATAGTCTAAATGGTGTATATAGGATTTAGAAGATGTATTAATGACCTTTCTGGATAACAGCTAGAGTTAAATATAAGTATCACATTATTCCAACAATGCATTTTTCGGGTATGAGATAAAAAAGACAAAGCTATCATATTACGTAACCTCGTTGTCCTCCTCTAGATCTTAAGTTTTGAAATTATTTTATGGTGTTTTTTTAATCCTCTGAACTTATTATTTCTTCATAAACAACGTTATCTATGGCCAATCTTTTCTACTACCACTAGTATTGATGAGCGAGTTATCCTACCGAGTATCTTTTACCGCCAAGCAGCTGATTTTAATTTCCATATTTTGTTTCAGTCAACCTGTTTATTGACGTCATGTTTTATATCATTAAGTTTAGAAAATGTATTTAAGTATGAATTATGGTAGGCAAAGTCATTTGGAAATTGAACTTAATGAATTAATTTAATCATTCAACTAAAGATTCAATAATGAAATTGATGTAATACGGATCAATTATTATTGGGAAATGCATTATTTGCCTAAAATCTCTATCTGAATTAGTCGAAAAGAAATATTTATAAAAAAAATAATTTTAATTTTTTTTAGCTGTACTTATACCATTGAATCATCGCTAATTTTAATTGGAACCCTAAAAATTGTGAAACAGCCACATGTCCACATTAACATCAGTCGGAGTGAAGAGAAAGAACTTTTAACTTTAATTTATTTTCTCAATAGTTTTAGGAAATGGATCATGAGTTATTGTGAGGAGAGGAGGCATCAGACAGATTCATTTATAGAGTATTTTGTTGCATTAAGTTATCTCAGTACCTCTTTCATTCGTAAATGACTTAATACTTCTGTTTGTTTAGTTACAGTCGTGTTTATAACAGTCATAATTATTTATACTATTATTATTATTATTATTATTATTATTATTATTATTATTATTATTATTATTATTAATCATTGTAAACATCGATCACTTTCTTTTTTTCCCTTTTACTTTAATTAACTCAGCTCGTAATTATCCAATTGCAATGTTATCCCGTAGTGTAAATTTTGAAACTACTGAAATGTTAGCTTATCGTAATCGACCTGATCATATTATTATTGTATATGATGAAGATGAACGTTTAGCACCTAGAGCTGCATCTACATTAGTACAGAGAGGTTATTGTAATTTATTTATGTTATCAGGTGGATTAAAAGTTAGTTATTATTGAATATATTGCTGTTTTTCTTTTTGTTGAAAATTTCACGATTCCGTTATTATGTTGTAGTGTACGTGGATATGTATACATATCTAGTTGATTGATCACCAAGTAGTGAACAATCCTATGTTTGTCTAGTGTCTTTTATCGCTGGTCGAATTTTACCGATCATGTTGTGATATGGTCAGCTCATCTAAATGACTCGCGTCATGTGTACTGTGTTGAGATGTCAGGTGTTTGGAGTTAGAAGGAAAACCTACTAGTTGACACTTATTAGAAAGGTATATTTATAGTCTAAAAGGTATTGATATTCATTGTGGACGACTGCTAACCAGAATAAAACCTACCTCCAGGGTTTTATGTCTACTTCTTCCAATCACCCCTTACATTAACTCCTAGGATGAAAAAAACATATTTTCTTTGTATTAGATATTGAATGGTCGAGTTTGTTTGTAGTATAATATTAAATGATGAATCAAAGAACTGATAATGCCAGTTAACCTGTAAGTAATGTAGTAGCTCATTAGTGATTATACGAATTGACTAAATTTAAAATGTGAACTGACTTGATTATCGACGCATCATGTTCCCTGTGGAGTCTAAGCAGCATTGGGGTTAATCCCGTTTAAATTCGCGTCCCAATATAGAACAAAAAAAGTGTTTAACTCTCTACTAATTTTCACTTATTCATCAGCTAACGTTAGGTTGTCATAAAAATTCGCTTCAAACTCAACAAAGTCTGTCAACAAAATAATTCAGCAAGTTGGTTAGTCAGTCTGTTACAACGTAGAACCTGGTTCGTATGCACATCAGTTCAAGTTGCCATACTCCATTGTCACAGTGAGATGAAATTGTCCGGGAAAATCCCAGAGTACTACAGGTGGTAATAGAGAAGACTAGGCATCGAGGATACAATTCGAGAAAAAAAAGTAGGAAGAAAATTATAAGGATTTCAGAAGGTTAGAATTTGGGAGAAGACAAGGAATGGATGCACCTGCGCTATTTCAAACTATTTTGAGCCATGTCACTCAAAATCTCAAACCATTGGTCACGATTATTACAGGGACCACAACTAGGTAGTCTTACATGTTAACATGACTCAGTTCATTTTTCAAGGACTTTATGGACTTACTGGCGCCATTTTTTGGTTAAGCCATCCCTAACTTTCCAACCTACTCCCACACCAGACAACAACCTTCAAGGTAAACGGGGGTTGGGCATAAGTAGTACATGTCCCAACCACCATCGTCGAGGAAGACCTACTACCCCATCAATCGACTTACCATCTTTGCCTAGTGATTTATTCCTAACCCACATATTTCTTACTCCGTGGTCCCAGAATGCCCGAGCAATGCCTTGTAGACACATACTATCGAATACTAGTAACCTACGAATATCCTCTACTTTCAATGGCCATATTTCACATCCATGAAACAGAACAGAGTAAACTGCTGTATAGTAAACTTGTCAACAGATAGCTTAGCAGATAAATATCTCGCCTAAGCTAAATTTGATGCAAGTTGGCAAAAAACAATGAAGCTTTCTTAATCGGTGCCGATTTTTCATCAGACAGTAGACCATCAATACTGATGAGATTCCCAAGTTACATGGAGCGGTCGATACGCCCAACTAATTCACTCCTTACCATTAATTCAGGCTCTAACTCAACATAGTAGATGACAAATTAAATTTTAGTAAAACCAAAATATTGTAGAGTAGATGTTGAACTGCTTTTTCAATTCATGCATTGAATATAATCCTGAATAAATTATTGTCAATCTGTTTATTTTATTTTATCTAGCAACAAATAAACTCATTCTTTATAATAAAATTGTCAAATCGATCACTCACTTAGTAACACTATTATTTAGGTAAAATTAACTAATAATACAGAGATGAACTTATTTTACCTAATATCCATATTGTCAGAATGGGTTTTGTGGAGAGCTTTAGAAATTTCACAGGTTGAAATCATGAGTCAATTGAAGCTAGATCACCATATTGTACTTAAAAATATATAACGAATAGTTTAAGATATTTTTCTCACTCAATTATACTACGAAAATAAGAGTAGTCATGTCATATCAAATCCAGGATTCGCAACCTAAAATAAGGAACTAGATCAACACTAGTTAATACTTGATTGAACACAGTTACAAGCAGTTACACTCAATGTGTCCAGAGTACAAAATCAATAAATAACATGAATAGAAATCACATATTTAAAAGTCAGTAGGATAAAAGTGCCTGTTTGTCCACGCTCAATGACCAATCAAATTTTAGCATCATTACCACATATTAGTAATGTATCACAAAGATACATCATTAGTAATTAAATGAAATTCATTAGTAGATATACATTGACACTAAATGTGTTTAAATGGTTGTAGATTAAATTTACAATAAGTTTTATAAACTGTAAATATTCCAATAAATAAGTTCAACTATGTATTATCCAACTTTGTGATGTTTTTATCCTATGAAGGGGGGTTTTTTTCACATGTTAATATTGTGAACTTCAATTGATCAGTCTCTACGGTGAGACGATTAACTTGATATTTCTTTTTAGTGAAATGGTTCCAATGTATTTAGATTGTGGCTAACAGTGGAACTGAGGAGGCATATTTTCTCCATTCTATGAATCATCAGCTGAATGTATCTGGATCCCTATGCTGATAATACTAGTGAGTCTAGATGCCAGCACTTATCGTTAGAAACGATAACATATCTACTGAATTGCTGAGTTTACTTAATGACTAATTCGCTTAGCAGGCATGATGTTTGCTATTAGGTGTTTGTCATTTTCACTTGTTGAGATTCAGTACTACTGTAGATGTCTCAACAGGTCATTGGAGCGCAGGTGTAGAACGTCCTGGGTGCTGGGTGTACGTTGGATTTTGATGGCATGGCAGGTCGACGGACCGCAGACTCGACATTTTGATGGAGAGCGTGGCACAGACTGCAGAAAAGAAGAAAGTGGCACGGCGAGCAGAACCGCCTCAAGAACGTCTGTATTAAAGGGGGATGAGTGTGGTGTATGCTACTGATGTCGGCAAATACAAGTAATATGTATCATCAATTGGAAGTGAAATGCCTGGAGGCAGAAGGTCAAGAAGATTCAAGAAGAGAGAACGAGGACAGAATGATTGCTGTGGAAATGAAGGAACAGTGAAGTCTGAGACAATTGATTGACATTTTGCAAATGAACTGTTTACTGTATGGTTCTCAGATTTCACTAAAACGTTCTGTAATTTTGTGTTCAGATATATTCAATTGTCCCTACGTATCTTTTCGTTCACTACACTACAAATAATCAATCTTTTTCCGTACGTTCATCTTGACTTGTATCGTGGCTTTAAATTTAAAAATTTGTTACCAAATGCAATATTGAGGCAATCCAATTAGGTTGCACATATGCTAATAGGAGATAAACAATTACAGTCCGCAATACCAATAGTGAAAAAATACAGATTGTTACAATTATCTAATTTTCACCCAGAATAGCATGGTTTTATGTGTGGAATTCATTAATTGGTTAATTTAATGACCATTTGAAATCAGTGAATATCTCATTGATGTTTGAAACGTTAAATACTGTGTTTTAATTTCAATATGAATATCAACACTTGGATCAAAGTACACTCAATTAGTGAGTCCCAAAATACAATGAAGCCAACATCTCAACTCCTCTTACTAGCCAAAATTTTAATTTACAAAATCTAATAAAGTTTATATAACTTCAGTAAAATCTTTTCATTATTTATATATTTATATATTTAGGTAGCATGGAAATTATTTCCAAAAGGATTAATCATTGGAGAAATGCCATTATCTATTTCATATGCTTTGAAATTACGTGGGAAAACTCGGATATCATCTAGACCATCGTCTCATCAAAGTTCTATTCATAATTCTCAAATTAATCAAAATTCTTTTATACCAAATTCATCTACAACATCGCTCCAATTAGATCGTCGAAATGGTAATATGCCATTAATGTATTGTGCATTAGGGACACGAGATAATTTAGACGGATGTGAAGAATTTCTACCTGAAGATATTGTTCATTTAACGTTAACGATAGAAAAAGGTGTTGACGATGGTACGTTTAAAATGGAAATATATTATCAAGATGTTTCTTTAAATACTAATAGTAATAATAGTTTACTAAGTAATACTTTTATATAAGGTACTACGATATTCTGTTTAGTTGTATTCAGAAGTAGGAATTCAATTTGTAGATCAATTTTATTTCTGTAATGGAAAAAACCAAGGACTTATGAAATGCAGATGAAGGATTAATGGATAATTATCTTGGTTACATATGACAATTGATCATAAGCAATGTAGAACCTTCAAAAAACGTGCATTCGTCCAAGTGACCAAATTAAATCACTACAATAAGATGAAATCATTAACGTGAATTCCACATGAGCAAAATTAATAGAATGATAATAATGGCTGTTTTTTTGCTAATTGAGCTGTCTCTCCCATTATTATTATTTCACTATCATATACTAATTTCTGTTCATTATTGTACTTCTTTTTAAAGAATACTTGTAGTCTAACTTTACTTATTATGTAAAATACAGCATTACTCTCAGTTTTTTATATCAAGACATCTATGTATTAATATACTAGAAAATATAACAACGTTCTCACTCCTAATATATCTCACGATTAATTGAGTTCTTCGATTTGTGCCTCACAACATATTACCAACTCAACAGGAAAATATAGAAGCGGATGAAATAGAAAATAGGTTCAGAATAAATGCGCACTGGAAACTTTAGTTTTTCTAATAATCAAGCCAAAAATTTTGATGTGCTATGCAGAAAATACATTTATCAATGTCAAAAGAGCGCTGGCATATCGCATTACTGGGACACAAAATAGAATTAATAAAAGTATCTAGAGAATGTATTTTGTAAAAAATGGCTCCCCGAAAATCTATATCAAGAAATACCTACCGACGTAGTGGACTTGGCCGAATTGCTGGGTGTTATTGATATTTCAAAGGTTAGAAACCCATTGTAAACTAGGAAGCAGTGGACAACCGTTTCGTCTTAATATGGGATCCCTCAGTAGTGTGCATCCATGACCTTACCGAGGATAGAACTCAAGAACGCTGCCTCTCAGTGAGCGGTTAAACTTTAGTTCACTGAGCCGGCATCCTATGGATTTTTAACTTACATTGACTCGTCATATCAATAAAATGCTCACTAAACCTGCAGCCAAGTACAAAGTAACGACGAATATCAGGTTGTAGATCGTCTCACCATATATATAATAAAGTCTCAGAGATCGTGACGAGTCATCAAGAGTGTTAGGAATATGTTTAGCTCACAAATACGCAAAATATCTACAATCACTATTTCACAAACCAAAGGACATATCATTAAACGGAGACAAACCAAATATCATCTACGGGATAAGTTGTAGCAGTAGTGAACAGTAATACGAATACATTTGTTATTGAAGTACTTCTGGTAAGGAGTGACTTTGGTTTGAGTGGCCAAAGACACACTTATATAAACAAATTATCTTATAGCTAGATGGATGAGTAACCTATCCACGTGTCACAACCTATCATTTTTGCTTGAAGCTACTTATCTTCCGCTCCATATTGTCCTTTATTGATTGTTTTAACATTTTATGATTGATATGAATGATGTTTAGGTCATGTGATGGATGACACACACACTGAAATGATTATTCGTCTACCAGATCTGTATTATATATACCGTAGACGCATGGTCTGTAAATGAGAACTAGATGAGTCTACTGAAGTGAAAATAGATGGTCACGAAGTAACCACAAAATGAATTTATTATAACTGACAGATAATAATGTAATAGTAAAAGGGCCTCAAACTATGTTTTTTTTTGAATATTTGTTAAGTAGTGGTAGTTTTGACGAGCAGCGAAGTCCTCAGTAACACACTTGCAATTCATATCACCCCACCAACCTATAATGATACATGATTGGTTGTTTTCACTTTTCGTTTGCGATCTTGATTGTGTCCTATGATTAGAATTATTACCCTACAAACAGAGTTGTTCTATTACGATTTTCACTTCTCGTATTATAAAACTTTTCTTAAGTTCCTAAATCTTTGTCTTAATTGTGAGTTCTTTTTAAAGTATCTTATCCAGTCTTTCGATCTTTCGTCGTTCGCCTAGATCCTATTACATAATTGACGAGTCGTCTAACTGTTTGTAATTCAGAATTACTATTATTTATCTCAAAATAAAACTATATACCCATCTATTTTAAGATTGATTTTCATTTATCTAACTGAGCATATTAAACTGATCATTATTATACTTGTCTTAGATGAAAAGGGATTATTATTGCTGAGTTCATTACTATGAATGTGGATTTTAACATAAACTGATTATTATTTATTCTAGAACTATTTATCATCCTTTAATCGACCAATGGTTCATTACTCCTAATGAATCTAAACATACCTACAATATGTGATAACATAATACCATTGAACATAATTATGTTATCATTTGATTAGTTTCAACTGATGTTTTTGTTTTACTTATAAAGACACACGCCTATGTATTTTAAAGCTTTTTATTTATTTTGAACAGGACGTTCCATTCGATCGAATTACAGTCGTTGTACTAATTCATCAACATGTTATTCAAAGGTAACTAATGGTAGAAAACCTTTTCGTTAATACAAAAAAAAACAAACAAACAAGCAAACAAATTGAGAATTCAAACATTCAAAAAACTATCACTCTGTGAAAATAATTATACTGTGATAATAATATTCAGTGTTAAACGTTTGTTTTGTTTTGTTTTTCCTCATGTAAAACACTAAAAGAGTAACATGAGTTATTGTTCTTAAATACTTTGTTGTATGTGTGTGTGTATGTATGACAAAAGAATTTAATCATCATGTGTGTAGTTTATATTTATGATTATTTCTAGAAATATCTTCATCTTTTAATCTACCTATCAGAATAACAAACATAATATACAAAAGGATATGAATAAACTAAAACTTATCCATTTCTTTTTTCATCCTATCAATTATATCCCTGTTAAATACCAATTGTTTTAATCTAACCATTCTCATTCATTGAATTCACTTGGTAAATTGTTTACTTCCTTTTATTTCTTTCCTTTTAATGACATTTATTCATTAATGTGTTCATTGTCTTTTTTAATTATTCTCTTACCGGTTAAAATAACATTACTTTTATATATAAATTGTTTTGTTTTTTCTTTCAATTTTTGATCAGTTACATTTCACTATGTAATTGTTTGTTTGCCTTATACGCTTACATTCATTCAAGTTCACTTCTTCTCTCTTTTATATAGATGAAGATTTGAATTTGTTTCAACTGATTGGTTTTATTAAAATGAACCATATCTTGTTTTATTGTTTTCAAAAGTGTATAATATATTGCATTATTTTAAAATAATAATAGATAAAGAAGAACATGATAATAAGAAAATCGGTTTTACTTTTATTGTAAATGGTGTTGTTGTGAATGACTTTTCACCATATTGTTTACTACATATCTATTCTCATATAAATTTAATTAAATAATCAAATGAAATCATATTTATAATGAATTGGTATATTAACATTGTAGATCACCAACGTAGATGATTTATGTCGAAATGATTGGAGGTCTACTCGAGTTAGACGTGAATGGTGTGACAAACTAGCTAACGTCGAAGTCACACCTCGTGGTCAGCACCTTACGTAGACTACCCCATTGACGTATCAAGATACCACATGCTTTGGAGACTGTACTACATAGAGGATGTTATTACAGAAATATATTAGTTAAAGTAGATACAAACGGAATTAAGACCGAAGCCGCATGGGCCAGTCCATGACATACGATTAACTGATGAGCGTTGGTTGTCCCTGACCTTGACGAGGATCGATGATTTGCTAGATATTTAATGACCCAACTGACGGATGATTTGGCTAGGGCTTAGTGACATTTCGCTGACCCTACAACATAATCAATTTTTCGAACCGTTTCACGTAGAGGCAGATTAAGATACCAATAGATAAAAAGATGATACTAATTAGGTAAAATGTATAGTAATTGGAAGAACCATAAGTAATGTAAAGGTTTATTGATGGAAAATTTACAAATAAAGTATTTAATGTATGGTTCTCATATTTTACGAAGACTCTAATTTTGTATTAAACATTAAATTGGTTGTCTACACATGACTTCTTGTTCACTACAGTAGTAGAAAACATTAGGTATTGATATTATGGTTCAAGGAAACAGAATGAATCCAAGGAATAAAAATGTATAAGAAAATTAAGAGAAGGCAAAGAGTGAATGGATCTACGCCGTTGAGATCGATTTCGAGACAAGTGATAAGTCTTCAGATTGAACGCTAGATTCGGTTTTCATGCTCTCCTAGTCACCTCCAAGCTAAATCTATACAGCGACTTCAACACTAGAGAAAAGGCGCAAAGTATGGGCGAAATGCTCTACACCAAAGGTTCGTTTATGTACAGAAAACCTAGGATATTTATAGTCTTTTAGATAGCCTTCGGCTTCTGGAACGTTGCTAAACATAGTAGCAGTACAGGTAGTCATGCAATTACAAACGCGAAATGAGAATTTTCACTCTCTTGATGTTTCTAGCAAAACTTCTATTGAATGCTGATTGGATAAGATGTTTCTTAACGTTTTAAGAGCCTTTTTGGCTTTTTCGAGGCATTTTCTGGACCTCGCCAACACATGTCACCCGATGTCTCTGATGGATGGCTGTGAGAATTGCACTGAATCCAACCAAATAGTCTGGACGTAGAAAAATAACTCAAAACAAAAGTCAAGTGACTTCATTTAATGATCGTGAGTGAACTAATCCAATATGGTTTTTGTCCAAAGTTTTACTACATTTGAAGTTACAAGCAATCTAACTGATACTACTGTATAAAAGAACTGCTCAGTTAAGTCTGGAACTTGGAGCATTCTGAATGTTATTATCAAATAGTTCTAGCTACCAAAATGGTACAGATCAGTAATTAAGCACATGTGTAAGTTCTTAGTATCTAGTATCTTAGAAAAATAGTTTACATATGATCACACCGCTGATGAGTATAACTGAGACTGGGGGTTATGTACCAGATAACAATGGTAAGTCAATCGAGGATGCTGTAAAGATTTATTGACTCGAAAAGTTACAATAATGTATCACATATACCTAGCTACTTTAACGTGGAATGATATTAAGCTTTGGAGCAATTTGAAAAGGAAAACCTACAGTTTTTAGGCATACAAACAAGCATATCCTGTACGAGTTCCTTGCCAAAAAAAAATTAAAATATACATTATATACTATTCATTTTACTGTTGAATCCTATTTTTTAAAAATGTGCTTCCTGAATCACGCTGTTAATTAGCATTTCTACGTTTTAACAGCAATATCCTGAAATTAAGACACTCGAATGTGTGTATAGTTTTAAAATTAAGCAACATATCACCTTACTAACTAATTAACACAAATAGACGAAATATTTGAGGCGCGTTATCCGATTTCGTGTTATAACCCAAATAAATTATTTCATAGTCATATCGAAACTATTTATTTTTGTTTTGAAGTACTGTCCTATTGAAAGAATAAAGACCACATCATTTGCACTAGTTGGAATCCATTAATAACGCGCATCTAGTCTTGAGGGGATCGATGTTTTCTATTGGTTTTGAATTCGGATCACTCCGCTTTATGCTCTTAGAACTAATGTAATCAGAAATCATTTTGCATGTAGTAATACAGATTACGATGAGATTGAATTTCAACTTGCTGAAGTGACCACATGTAAAGCTTATCTAATAGATGTCATTTGATCTAAAATAACGAACATTATAAGTGAGATATATTTCAAACAATAGTTTGTTCTTAGGCCTGTTCATTCAACTTGTTGTCAACATGTAGATCTGTTAATTCCATCTGAATATCATAATTGGATACCTCAATGTCCATCAACATCAAATTATACCGTGGCCGAATCACTTTAAAATCTTCGAAATGTCTCGAAAATTCGTTTCTGTCACCTGAAATCTAACTTCAGTATTCCTGAGCGAATTCTGTGGAAACTCTTCATATACCTAGTGTCATAATTTGGTTGTACTTTAATTGGTCCACTAGAACATGAGATTGAGTTTTAAATAATATTCTTGAAGATTTATACATGAACTGTTATATTTTTTGTGAAATCATTTCAAATAATCCTACTTTGCGAATATCTAATCTACACGTACAGTTTCTGGTTACTTCACAGATTCAAATATATTACCAGTATAGGGGTTGTGGAGATTATTAAGTTTTTGATTGAGATCATGAACCGATTGATGTTAGACACTAAAAACATTGGATGCCGGATCAGTGATCCAATAGGTTAAGCGTTCGCCCTGTGTTCGAATCCTGCGAGCGGGATCTTCAATGCGCACCGCTGAGGAGTCCCACAACAGAACGAGACGGCCGTCCAGTGCTTCCAGGTTTTCAACGGTGGTCTAACATCAACCGGTTCATGATCTCAACCAAAAACAAATATATTACTTGTTTCAAACCTGAGTTATATAAAATAAAATGCAAAAAAGAATCAGTCGAAAATACGGTGCTCATTTAAAATATTTATTTCAAAGTAAACCAGCTGTCAGATTATTATTAACATAAGATAAGAGAATTGGATTGCACAAGAGTGTTAAGTAACAAATTATTTATGTTAAACAAAAGACAAATTGATTTATGAAACCTTATTAGAAAAAAAAAGAAAACAAAAACAACAAGAAACAAACCAAATAAACAGAGAAATCGTAATCGGATAAACCAGCACAAAAAATAAATTCGTCATGGTGTAATGAACAAACAAAAGTAAAAAGACACAATAATGTTATGACTGTGTGTATTGCTTGAAAAATCAAAATTTATAAGTGCAAACATATATCAATATATAAAAAAACTTTTTACCTCTGTTGATATGGGTATTACAGTTTCCCCGTTTACCATTCTTTACAAATACACAATAATAATAATAATAATAATAATAATAATAATAATAATAATAATAATAATAATCACATATAGTCAGTGAAAGACAATTATGATCATACATCTCCTTTTCCATAGAAAATTATGTTTTCTACAGTCACATATTATTTTTTAGAAAATTGTCATCCTCGATTCAAAAAAATAATAGACATTGATCTAATTCCAAAAACAACAACTTTTTAAAAAAACAAAACAGGTAGGATTTTCTTAATTGTAAACATATTAAAGGTAAGTACAAAAAAATACACACACACACATAAATAACGTGGGAATATCAGTGCAAAATAAGGTTGGATCATTAAAAGAAAAGGTACATGAAGGTATAAGTGAATGTATGTATGTTCACAAAGAAAAATATAGAGAAGACAAGATGATGATAGTAAGAGAAGAAGAGGTGGTTATCACCATTGAACACTGTGTTCTGTACAGATAGCAGCTAATTCTTTACAAAAATCTTCAAATATAACTGCACATAATACCATTCTTTGTATTCTAGATATATCAAGTATTGAATTTTCCGTATTCATCATCATCATTGACATTATTCTATCTTCAGTGTTTACATTGGTTTTTAGCCGTTTTATTGTGGACAATCGAAAACTTCTTCGACGTTTTTGAGCATTGTTACCATTACTAC